AGTATCGATTCGGAAATCCTCTTGCTAACCTGGGGGCGACGGCGCCCCCAAAAGCTTGAAGAAGAGAAGGACGTATGGCGACGGACGTCGAACGAAGTGAGGTGGACGCAGTGGTGTTGGGCGCAGCGAGATCTTGTCGGTCGACGAGTGTAGCGAGCGGAGCGAGCCCTGGAGTGTAGCAAAGTCGCAAACCCGTAAATCCCGGTAAAGTTGAGTAAGACTAGGTCAAGCGCATAAACCAAGAGATAAACAAAGCAGTCTCGCGTATCTCACCAGATGCCTCGATGACTCGTGCGGTAAACGTCGTCGTGCTCGTCCAGCAAAAAAACGCCATCAGCACTCCACTGCATCTGACCAATCGGAGTGCGGGGTATCTCCGTATGGTGCCTTTGTGCGAACGAAGCACGGGGAGGAGTCATGGACTTTGTTTGTGGTATGGAATTTCGATACTCTCTTTCTTATTCATGTATACTGGTGAATGTCTTACTGTTTTGCTGTTTGTGTCTGGAGTTCTTGATGCTGGGGTAGGTGGGTGGAGATGTTTCTACGACTCCATCCATGCCCGGAACATTGCAAGGGAGATGCTAACATATAACACAGATGCAAACATTGTCTATAGTTCTCAACTACTGGGTTCAGTGCCAAACAGTTCCAATGCTGTGGTACATTACCCACAAGCGGCACCCACATGTCAAACAACCTCCCTTAGCCTTGCCGCGACCAAACCCTGACCGACATCACGCCATCAGGGTACCACATCACAACATGCGAGTCACGCCAACTACATATACATGCACATGCCCACCACCTCGCTGATACACACACACACGCACGGAAGTAGAGGGAAGAACCCTCTTGCCATGTCTTCTCCCATACATCAACACATCCCGCACATCACCAATAGACGTTTGCACTCACAGACTCAGATATACCAATATAATTTCATCTCATCTCAACAAACTACAACCACCACACACCATCTTCCACGTATACCATAACCACATGATAAAACACATACAACCCAGCCTCATCACAATCAGCCATCCATCTGCCCAAAAGACCTCCACATCATCACGGTACGCGGTGATATGAGACGGACGCACGTCTTCCCGAACGGTCTACGTGCGTCCGTCGCACATCACCGCGTACCGCCATGATCTGGAGCTGGATGTTCCATCGAAAAGAAAGACCATCTCCAACAATCATTATATCTGGATATCTTCGTCGGCCGTAAAACACAATGACATCTTTGTCGTCTCCACAAAGGAGGACCCGTCGAGAGAGATCAAGAGAGAGAAAAGAGCACTCTCTATAAGGTTGTCGAAGGAAAACGCTGAATCGCAAGGACAAGAGAGACAAAACACACGCAGACCACCCCCGTGATTGATCAAGACGCCATGTTGGAAAAAGCAAAGAGAAGACGCCGGTATTATGCAGTCTAGTGGATGCAGATGCAGAAAGGCTTCGTGTCGGTCGAAGCAAGTGAAAAGGTGGAATGGGACCAGTGCCGTTGCGACAATACTGGGCCCTCCGGATATCATCAAAAGAGAGTACGCCAGGAGCAGGAAGATCCGTCCGTAAGTCCGTCCGTCCGTCCAGGTGTCATGAAGATATGAAGGAAGTTGATGTAGGCGGCGATACAAGCAAACGCCCATGTTTAGAAAGTGCTCCAGTTCCACGTGCCCTGGAAGCTCTGCGCCAGGCTGCCTACGCGCGTGTTCTCAGGACGCTTAGCAGGCGCAGGAGTCTCGATGGACTTTGCGGGAGCAGGGCTGCTGTTGCTGCTGTCGGAGCTCTCGCTGTTGGTGCGGCTGGAGCGGAGGTGCTCCCACTCGCGGAAGGAGCTGTGGCAGCGGTCGCAGGCACGGTGCCAGTGGCCTTCGGGGTGGAAGCGCGCGAGCTCGTCGAGACGCACGTTGTTGCGCGAGTGCTGCCAGCAGAAGATGCCGCCGCACTTGCGGCAGTGGTGGCGCCGCTGGAAGAAGCCAAAGGGCTCCTGGCAGCTGGATGCCGAGCACACCGATGTGGAACCGTCGGCCTAGGGATGAGTTAGTGTGGATTCTGGACGCAACGGCAACTCTGAATTGTGGACAAGTGGACAGGTGTCGCTAGCCCGAACAGCCCGGACTCCAGCCCTGCATCGGGTAAAAGAGTAGGTATAGGTCTAGCGTGGGGGACGACGTGCAGGTCTGGACAGAAGCAGTGCTTGCCGGCAGACGATGGAAATTATCCGAAGGCCATGGCAAGGCGACATGCACAACATGATCGACCTTGGCCGCCGAGTTTGCCCCCCAGGCGTCTTGTTGAGCTGAATTGGAGGGCTCGGCATGTCGGCTCTGCAGACAGCGGGAGGCCAGACCAACGCGCGCTAGGCAGTGGGACCGGACCATGTACGTAAGACGGTCCCCTCGCAGGCCAGGTGAGCACGCGACAGGGAAGCACGGACAGGCTAGCAGCGGCATAGCGGACAAGTAGGAAAGGCGCGAATACATACCTGCCAGTGGTTGCGTGTGATTGGCCCCGCGACGGGCGACAGTGGTTCGGCGTTGTAGAGGCTCTGCATGTCTTCATTGCCAATCTGCGAGACGGGCGTCGCGCTGCCCTCGTTGGCGACCCACCCGTACGTGCCAGCCGACCAGCCCTGGTTCGGGGACGACACGCCCGAGTCGACCTTGGGCGGCGACTTGCTGCTGGGCTTCTCCGTCTTGCGCAGGGCTGCGGGGATGCCGATGGCGGTGCGCGGCTGGTAGATGCCCTGGTGGCGGGCGAGGGGCAGGTGTGTGGTGCGCGGCGACGTGGGCGAGACGTTGGCGGGCGTGTTGACGCCCGAGTGGGTGGGCGAGTACTGCGAGTGGGTGCTCTTGCGGTAGGCGTGGTGCTGGTAGGGTGCGTGTTGCGGGATCGCAGTCGCCGTCGAGAAGGTCGTGGCCATGGTGACGGGAGGAGTTAAGGTTGGCGATGACGGAATGAGGTTGAGGTTGGCGAGGAGTCGCGAGAGACGTATAATACGTAGTCGTAGGCGGTGAAGTGCTGCGCTGGTATTGGTGCGCTGGAGTGTCTGATACAGCGCTTTGGGAGCGGGAGGCTATCAGTGGCTCTGCAGTGGTGCGACGGGTGCAGACGACGCTGACAGGCCAGCAGGACGCGTGCGGCTCCTTGGGGACGGTTGGGGACGTGTTGGTGGTGAGGGTGCGTGTCAATTGGTAGCTGACGTGCAGGCGATAAGAGACGAGGGCGGTGATACAACAGACGCCGGGGCCAACAGTCGACCGTGGTTTAGCAGGACATGATAGTGAATATAGTCGTGGTCGTGGTAGTGGTCGTATATGTGATATGCGTCGAGTGAGGCGGATATAGGTGTAGATAAGAAACAGCGGTGTCGCGTGAGTGCGGAGGAGACCTGGGGTGAGGCTCTGGGGACAGGATGAATTAAGTTGTCGCCCGCCAGCTGCTCCAGCGACCTCTTCCCAGCAGCGAACTGACGGATGGGCGGCCATGCCCGAAGGGGGATGCCTGCACCCTTGGCGACCGACCGAACGACAGGGTATCATCGGGCTACGACCGGCCATTTGGAAGATTCTAATTGTAACATGGCCGTCGCATCGACCTCGCTGTCTTCACACTGCCCTCCCACGCTGCTTGAAAAGACTCGAAAACCACAAGTTCTAGGCTGATTATAGACTCTATCTCCTACGCGAACGCCCCATTTCCCCCTTCCCCAGCGCAACCCTCATTCCTTCACCACGACCGTTGCGCCTCTTCTCGAGGCGGCCAGCCGTTGGGCCCCACTGTGCCCGTTTGGGCGTCCCTTATCTCTAACCAATCACGCCCTCTGCAAAAGAAAAGCAACGCCTCAACCTTCTCCGAGGACGGAACTGCTGCGTCAAGCGTGAACTCATTTCCTGGGGCGCCCGTACAGTGATGACATAGCACTCACCCCATATCTTGATTGCGACGCCCTGCGCAGACGCAAGAAGAGGCGGTGATGGACGTTGATAGACATGATAGACATGGCTTGACATCACAGCTAAACGACCAGGCAAGTATGCCGCGAGAGGCGCCACACACCCTACCATCCCGCTCAAGTACGGCCAGCTTGCAACAACTGGCGGGGCATTTGGCCACACTACTGTATTCAATTCAATGCACCTCATCCACTCTGTAGCCACGCGAGCAAGGCGCGCGCGACGCAATTATCCAATATATTATGCTCCACTCCAAGTGGAATTGAGGCTATCCGGCCAGACTTGGGACGGCGGGCGGTGGAGGAGGAGGGGAGGTGGTGGCCGTCAATTCAATCTACTTACTTGGGTGTGTGAAGTCTGTAGGTCCGTATTGGTGAGGCCATCATGCCATGCGTGCATCGTGAAGCGCAGCGAAGAATTGAGGCTATTCGGCCAGAGCTCACGATCTTGAATAATGTGGGACCGCTTCATGACATCGTACCCACTTGGGCGTAGGCGTAGCGTCGTTCGTATTGATGTTGTGCCCGTGCGTGCATCGTGAAGCGCTGCAGCGATCCCCGGTTGGAGTTTTGACATCGTCGTACCAAACCTTGCGACTCTGACATCCGAAGACTCCCCACCGTATCCGCAACTTTCCTGAGAGAACCACGAGGAACCTGAACAAAACAAAGTTTCTGGTGACTGAACTCTGATTAGAGTCCTGGTAATGCCGAGTGTAATTGCATGGTAAGTCCTCGTCACATTTACAATTACAGGCGTCCATGGATGAGGTCACGGATTCGAATGCATCTTTCCATCAGCTATTCATCACTATTCGTCGTCCCAAGTGTTGCTAAGTCTTGGCATCTCTTGCACCGAAGTAAAAGTGACGGTGAGGATGAAAGAGGACTTTCATGTGATGTTCGGCGCTGTTTGGGTCACCACGTCACAGCCACCCAGCGTCTCACCCATGTCCACCAACCGTGCAATCCATGGATCTCTAACTTCCCAAAGCTACACCCACCACCCACCATCTCGCATCGCAATACCTTCGCCATGCCCTGTCCAGACATGTCTGATCAGCATCTTTTGTCTTTGCAAAGTCACGCGCATATAAGCAAACGACTCAAGGCCAAGTACGAGGATGACCTCAAGGCTACAATACAAGAGCTCTCTGAGCTCAATCAAGAGACAACACATATCTTCGATATGGAGAAGGACAACAAAAAGACTATCTGCACGAACAAGATTAACGAACTCACGGCTAAGATTGCTCAGCTGGACGAGCAGCTGGCAAGCCTTGACAAGCAGATTCAGCGTTGGAAAGAAGAACATCCACCTAGTCGGCAGTTGTCGCAGAGGGAGAGAGACGAGGAGTTTGCACGCATACCGAAGAATCGCGCTTTTTTGGAGAGGATCATGTAGGGGCTCAAGTCAAGATCTTAGTTTGTCTAGGTAGCACTGACGTACGCGCCTTGACTAGCGAGTCTTCAATACCTTACACCATCGGCCGTTTGCTTTTCAACAAAGAACTCTTGGGACCGACATCGAGTCTCGACTGCGAATGCTCCCATCAGAACCACCTCGAAGAGGCATTGAACAAGTGTCTTGAATGACAGCGACCTTGTGGAAACCTCATCTCGCCTAGCAGGAGATGGCTCTCTAGTCGGTCCCCTGCATGTTCCTGATGCGCACCGACCAGATCCTGCCGGATGGATTCAACCGGATAATTGGATTCGTGGGGACGTTGCGCAATCATCCTTGGTGGGATTTGCCTCGCACGAAGTTCGCTCGAGCTTCTAAGATTGCGCGTGTGTCAAGAGTTTCTTTTGACTACACCACGCGCAAGGGTATGGACGTAGGTATGCGTAAGAGATGCAATTATGGTCGGCAGATGTCTCGTACTACTGGTCCTACGCTGCGAGTTGTTTCAATGTAGTCCAGCTGCATAAGGCGCGAAAGAGTAGTTGGAGTACTCCTGCTAGATCCAGAGATAAGCGACTCCCTCCGTTGGAGTCTTGGAGACGCCGGCCAGATTCGCCGAGATGAAGAAGCGCCCGTCTCATCCTGGTTCAAAGACCGAGCCGACCCACCCACCATCGTCGGACATTCGCCTCACTAACACTGCGCCGCCGGCCACTGCAACCTCACGATACCGCCAGAACTTCGGATCACACGGACACGCTCTTCCAATGCATTGATGAGAGATCCGCAGTCTACGACGCTGAGTTGCGCAACGGCCCACACGCATCGAAGGCTAACATGACTACGACTGAGATCTGCCGCGCAGATCAATGCAAGACATCACAGGATTTAGCCTATCCTGACGTCCTCTATAGCCCTTGAAAGACGTCCAATGGCGGCTCCGGCGAATCTGTCCTTCCGACATCCACGAGCAACGGCAGCCTTGGCAACCCTCCGCCGGGACACGTCGATGAACTTTGTTTTCTGAACCGAGGCACCGAACCGCCACGGGCTAGCAGACGTCAACAATGGCACGGCATGTGGCGCGGGGGAAGTTGCTTCATCTCTCGCAGTGAACATGGCTGGAAACTAAAACAAAACGACGCCTGCGTCCTTAGCATGCCCGACAGCTCCACCTTCAAGACCCTTTGATGGTCCACGCGCGACATCCAGGCTATCCCTGAACACCAAACTATACGTGGCAAAATGTCAACAACACTCCCTTCTGAGCCCGTTTCGCCGAAAGCTACTCCGCTGCCTCCGCTCCCAGCTGAGGATCCGCTCACGCCTCAACAATGGAAGACGCTACTTGCTATCACGGATGCGGTCATCCCAGCAATCAAGCCCATCTCCACGGCGAGGACGCAGACTGAACTCGCCGCAACCGACACCGACTATTCGACTGCGGTCAGCAAGCTGAGGGCTTTAGCGCCCGGAAACGACCCTGATGCTGAGACGGCGGTGAAGGAGTATCTGGACGACTATGCGAGTCAGGATCCGGCGTTTCGAGCGGAGCTGCAGCGCGTCTTCGCCATGTACATGCCGCAGAACCAGAGAAAGGACCTGTGCATGGTGTTGAATGTCCTCAACACGCGGGCGGGGTCACTGGCTTTGACGGGCTATCTCACGCCAATCAGCGAGCAACCAGCCCATGTAAGGGAGTCGATTATCCAGGGCTGGGCTACCGCGCGGTTGGGACCGCTTCGCCAACTGCGCCGCTCGTTGGTGATTATCACTAAGCAGGCTTGGATCAAGACGTCGCCTTCGCTGAGACGCGTAATAGGTGCCCCCCGCGTGCCTGTTGGTATGAGACCTGGAAAGGGCTTCGACTATGAGTTCATTCAGATACCTCCAGGTGACGAACCTGAGATTATTGAAACAGATGTGGTGGTTGTGGGTAGCGGGTGTGGTGCTGGTGTGACAGCGAAGAACCTCGCTGAAGCCGGACATCGTGTGTTGATAGTAGAAAAGGCATATCACTGGACTCCAGACCACTTCCCCATGGCCGAACTAGACGGCTGGCACCACCTCTTCATGAGCGGATCCTTCCTAACCTCCGACGACAGTTCAGTGAGCGTAGTAGCAGGCCAGTCCCTCGGCGGCGGAGGAACAGTAAACTGGTCTGCCTCCCTCCAAACCCAAGGCTACGTCCGCCGCGAATGGGCAGCCCGCGGCCTCCCCTTCTTCACATCTGCCCAATTCCAAGAATCGCTCGATCGCGTCTGTGACCGGATGGGCGTCTCAGACAAAAACATCAAGCAAAACCGCAACAACGAGATCCTGCTCGAAGGCGCCCGCAAACTCGGCTGGAACGCTGCGCCTGTGCCTCAGAACACCGGCGGCCAGCAACACTACTGCGGCTACTGCAACTTCGGCTGTGGTTCCTGCGAAAAGCAGGGCCCAGTCGTGTCTTTCCTCCCTGACGCCGCCCGCGCAGGAGCCAAATTCATCGAAGGCTTTCACGCGGAGAAAGTCGTCTTCTCCAACAAAAGCGGCAAGCGTGTCGCAACAGGCGTACTCGGTACGTGGACCTCACGCGACGACCAAGGCGGCGTCTCCAACACCCCCCTAACCACCCGCCGCGTCCTCATCAAAGCAAAGCGCATCGTCGTCTCCGGCGGGACAATGCAATCCCCACTCCTCCTCCTCCGCTCCGGTCTCACAAACCCTCAAATCGGACGGAACCTCTACCTGCACCCCGTCACCTTCCTCGGCGCGTACCACGCCGAAGAGATAAAACCGTGGGAAGGCGGCATCCTGACCTCCGTCGTCTCGGAATTCGAAAACATGGACAACGCAGGCCACGGCGTCAAGCTCGAAGCCACGAACATGGTGCCCTCGGCGTGTCTGATGTGGGTGGACTGGAAGTCGGCGATGCAGTATAAGATTGATGCTGCGAAGCTGAAACACATGGTTGGGTATATATCCATTGCGCGGGATAGGGATACAGGGAGGGTTTATCCGGATCCGGTGGATGGACGGTGCAGGTTCTCGTATCAGACGAGTAATTACGATAAGAGACATGTGCTCGAGGGCGTTATTGCGCTGGCGAAGATACAGTATGTGGAGGGTGCGAACGAGATCTTTACCGTTATACCCAATATGCGGCCGTTTATCCGCGATCCGGCGGGACCGTCTGGAGATGGCATCAACGACCCCGCGTTTGTGGCTTGGCTTGATGAGATAAGGAATAAGGGGTTGCCGTCGCCCGAGACTGTGTATGTGTCTGCGCATCAGATGGGTACTTGCCGGATGAGTGCGAAGGAGAGGGATGGTGTTGTGGATCCCAAGGGCAAGGTCTGGGGCACTGAGGGTCTTTACGTTGCGGATGCCAGTGTCTTTCCCAGCGCTAGTGGCGTTAATCCTATGGTCACGAATATGGCGATTAGTGATTATATTAGTCGGGGGATTATGGCTGGGTTGGAGGTCAGGGAGTCGGCGAGGCTGTGAGGGGGGACGCCGGTACATGATTTTGCTTTCTCGCGGTAATGATAATGTAGCCCTTTTCGTGCTGCAACTCGGACAAGCCAGAGTTTATCACCGACATCCGTTGCACACTTGGTGTTCTTGTCTACGGCATTTTGAGTTGCGACACCGCGGCATGATGATTTGAGAACGGATGTTGTCAATTTGATAGTCATTCCCATCAATAGTGATATCACGATTCGCAAGACGGTCTGATAGACCCAGTACACCCTCAGCAGTCTGACTTCGTAGCTTGAGTCCAAACCGCGCTTGCATACACCCGCATCTCCCCCTACCACCCATCCATCCCACATCACCACTCCATCCCCCAAAAGCCCCTAACATCCCTCAGCGCCCTAAAAACCGCAAAATGATCCTCTTCCTCCATAAGAAACAACAACTGCATCCCTCTCCTCCGCATCTCCTGATGACTCGCCCAATCCGCACACCGTGCCAATCTCTCAAAGAGTTGTCGGAGCATCTGGGAGTCGGCGACGCATACCGCATCTCGACCATTCATGTCCTCTCGTTCCTCGAGGCTATCGAGAAGTTCAGGCTTGCCCAGTATATGCAGATCCTGCACAATAGCTTCGAGCTTAGGTAACAGGTCGAACAGTTGACTAGCCGTGATACGTTTCCCCCAGTCGAGGTCAAGCGCGCGCATCATAAAGTGATTCAGCAGGGCACTATATACTTTCGTCGTATACTCCGACGGACAATCGATGCGTATGCGTTCAACAACGTGGCCAGCTTGGTAGTAACAAAACTCTTTGTAGAGATCACGCGCAACGACACCATCCGGTATCTCCCGTCCACTCCCCCCAAACCAAGTCTCGGCATCGGTCTCCAGCTCCCGCACTTTCTGCATGGGTACACGACCCAATATCAGTTCGTGCATCATGCTGCCCAAGGACCACATATCGGATTCTGGGCCGTGGCGATAGTCTGCTTCGGGGGGTTGGAAGGACGGTGTACCTATGTGTCCGCGTGGGATTTCTGGCAAGGGGTTACAGGACGCAGCGCCGAAATCTGCGATCTTGGGTAGGGAGAAACGCTCGCCTTCTCGCGCCGCGGTGAGGAGGATGTTGGCGGGTTTGATATCGCCATGTACGATGCCGCGGCTGTGCAGGAAAGCAAGACCACAAGCGATATGCTTGAGCACATGCCAAAGGAATAGTTCGGGGATGGGGCCATCCAAGGTATCCAGGTAATCCAGTAGATCGCCTCTGGGACAGTATTCGAAAATCAATTGTAGACGAGAAGGATGAGGTGGACTTAGGACGCTGTTGTAGTATCGGATGATGTTGCCGTGGCGGCCTAGGTTTTGCAGAATCGTTGCTTCTGCTAATGGTGCGGCGGGATTTGGGAGGGTCAGCGTCTTTACGGCGACGAGGATGCCGGCTGAGGTGTCGAAGCAGAGATCTACGAGGCCGTTTCCACCGGAGCCTATGCGTTTGACAAGCTCATACTGGGTCCAGATTGGCGGCGTGGGGGCT